CTACACCAGTGCTTGTGACTTGCTGTCAAACTTGCCTGAGGCAGGCTTGATGTCAGGAGAGCAATCGCGTCTTATAGGGCGTTTTACAACAGCGAAAGAACAACCAGTCGTCGCACAATGCGATTAGCGTAACAAGTGGGTCGTCCAATGATCTAACCCATTACAAAAGCTTGTTCTTGTTTTCCTATAACTGTGGTGCATACCCACTTCCCCCATAATTCCTCATCGTCGTCAGCCACTGCATGTACAATTGGCACAAAATTCCTTGCAAGTGTTTAGCGGATACCACGCTTCTCAGAAGAATGACGAAAAATAGCATAGCGAATGCCGCCCCACTACCCATAAGTTTATTATTAATGCCCTGGTGGGTACCGAGCAAGTGTGCTTGCAGTAGTTACCCAATGAGTGTTTTGAAAAGGCTCTGAAAGGCGGTTCTTCTAACTTTCACTGCGACTGCGATGCGCCTGCCGCGCAGGCCTGGCGTTTTTTTTTCTGGTTCTTTATTTTTTTAGTGGCTAAAGAATCCCTTACCTTACCGACTCCCACCCTCACCGTACCACGAGGCACAAGTGACCAGTGCTACACTATCATCGAAGGCGGAAATATAATAATAACTTCGCTGTAAAAGACAACCACGTAACACGACTACAAGTTACAGCACGGCAGTCTCGTTAGTATACGTTTGCTTTCGCACTATCTGCGTAAATGTTCACGTTTTTAATATTAACAATTGTAAGGATTTTTCCTCCCAGAACCTCGATATAATTAAAAATAGACGCTTTGATGAGGGCTGCCCTAGGCTGCCCTTGGTAGTTTTGGTAGGAGCCGGGAAAACTGGTACTGTTTCAACGAAAGCCTCCGATACCAGAAGGTGTTTTGCGACTTTCCCGCCAGGAGAAGAGCACATGCGCTGGGGCGTCGTGAAAAAGGTGGATTCCGACTAGAACAGGTACCTTAATGTAAGCATATGGGCCGACAGCATTTCGCTACCATCGAATTGCGGGCGCTGCGTCGGGCTTAGATTTTGTGACCTTCGGATCAGCAGTCGAGCACCACAGTTCTAGGATGACCGTGGCGTGTGAGTATCCGTTTTCGCCGTTATAAAACGCAATGTAGACGTATATCTACACTAAGCAATTATGTTGACTTGTACGAATAAATAAACTCTCCGGCCACGTTCAGTCGTAGTTTTTAATGTAATTGGCCGCACGTTTCGAGACTCATAATGTCCTCTTTTTCAGAGGGTGATCATGTTTATTGGATGATTGCGCAACTTTGTTGTAAGTCCTGAGGTTTACGACTCCACGCGCAGCGTGCCACTCCCACGTTGGTACAAGCCCGACATCTGCATCATGGGCCCTCTGGACAGTTGATCCCCGACATCGAGGCTCTTGATGGCGGATAGCCACTTACGTTCTTTGGATTGGTTCTTGTCCCGTAACGAGAGGCAACGTCAGAACACGTGGTATATACTAGAGAATTTATCGCAGTGCTTTCAAGAGCTATTGAAATAAATGTCGGGATAAATATTACGCAATAAAGCCGGGCTGGGATACGAACCTGTCTGCAGTAGTCTGAGAGTTGACGCCTGCGCTCAATTTCCCTAATTATATTCGTATAATTTTACCCACCCAGGCAGATATATTTCTATCATGTTGCTGCTTGCGGCTCGCAGCTTCACGAGACGTTGTGAACTTTTTTTGTGATGTTACACGAACGGTGGTGACGTCAGAGCGTGCGACAACAAAGCCGAGAATCCTCTTGACACGCGCGTCACGCCGTCGCTCGCTTGACCCCTTCGTGTGAACTCTCATGACTGCTGAGAGGGCAGTGTACGTTGATGCCACGGGCCACCAAGTAGCTCCCTATCGGACATTATCACCATGGTGCTAGGATTAAGCCTTGATACATAATGCGGGCTTCACACTCGCCACGCCACCCCGGCATTCGAGACAGGGAGCTTTGCTTCGTCGCCTCCTCGACTGCATTTGCAGTCAAGAATACCCTGTGAACATTTGCTCTCATACAGAGTCGTGTACATTGGCGGAGCTCGCATACTACGCGACCCTCCGAAGTATAGCACTTAACAGAAGTTCAGGACATAGAATGCATGTACTCGTTAAAAAAATGTTTTCCAGGAAGAGATCGACTATCTACTACATTTACTCATGAAGGACGTGTAAACAGTTTAAGTAAACTTAGGGTGCACGTATATCATCAATCAGGCGCAATTTAGGAACGAATGACTCGCGGCATGTAAGTGACAGACAACTGAAAAATTACCCGAACTTGCCCAGTTATGATCCATGATCAGCAAAACAAAGGTAAGTATGAATATATGCCCCGGTAAAACCTCGAAAAGAGGATAACTTATCGAGATCAAAATAGGCCATCTAATTATCAGCCCGTTTCCGATAATTGTGCGGAATACGCAAAGCTTCATTGCCAGTGCTCTTTTTTTTTGCGCGCTGGTATATGATGGCACCACATTAAAATGCTG